AAAAAAAAAAAAAAGAACAACAGCATGCGAAAAAAAAAGAAGAACAACAAAGTGCACCTGTCGCAAGCATGTAGTAAGAAATGGTGTCCTCATGAAGGACGACAAACCGCTGCAACCACTCCCCACCATCATCGTCATCCTCTTCTTCGTCGTCGTCATCATTGTCTTTCTCTTCATTTGTGTAGAAGAACGGATCTCTGAGAAGGCACCTCTGCCAATCCGAATTTCGGAAAGAGCAACATCCCAAGCCAACAAAAGTCAAAGTCAAAGTCAACACCGGGGGTGTGTGGACTCCTGGTCAAAGTCACTCCTTTCATTTACCCTTTTCTTTCCGTAAGGGACACCATGCCGGTCATGTCAAAATCCTTTCTTTTCTGTTTTGCAATGCGTGACCGCAATGGGATCATGGGATGCATTCAGTGTCGCACAACCTTGAAACGACTCAACTACTAGACAACATTGGTTCTTTCTCTTCTCTTTGCCTCTTTTGTTTTTCACTTTTTTTTCCTTTTTTTTCCTTCTTTTTTTTTTCCTCCTTTTTTTTCTTCTTTTTTTTCCTTCCTTTTTTATTTTTTTTTCTTCTTTTTTTTGAAGGGGGTATCCCTTGACATTCTTATATCGATCTGATCCGGGGATGTGGTTCTTTCTCTTTTCTTTGTCTCCTTTTTTATTTCACTTGTTTTTTCCTCTTTTTTTTTCTTTTGTTTTTTTTTTTTCGGGGAAGGGGGGGGGGGGGGTATCCCTTGACATTATTGTATCGATCTCATCCGGGTGTGGGTTCGATCTGATCCATTCCTTCCTTGTCAGTGTTGTCACACACAACTGGAAATGCCAAGAATCATTAAAAACAAAAAAAGGCAGTTGTGAGGGTTAGGTCGGGCAATGGCGGCCATTTGTGGACAATTGTGGGGTTGGGCCTGGCAATGCAAACACAGCCCAGACATAAGTCGATCACAAGAAAATCGAACGCGCGACGCCGAACTTGGGAGGGAAACACTCCACCAATAGGTAGGCTAAGTGGACTGGGGTGAGAGTGAAGCTCCAATCAGACTATCTAGTTTGACCCCACTCCAACCGTGTCCAGCGTCCCAGCGTCCCAGCGTACAACTGGTGGACTACTTCACACCCCACTGCAATGGGGACGGTGGGACGCTGGGATTTCTCCGTGTCCCACTGTACTAAGTCACACACACACACACACACACACACACACACACACACACACACACACACACACACACACACACACACACAACCACATTGGCCGTCAACGCAGCAGCACCATGCAGGGCAACAATTGCACTGCAGGTTGTTGCACTACCATCTTCCCCCGAATAGAATGCCTGGTCAGTACTGCTGCTGTATTTGGGCCAACTTCCTGTCCAGATACAGGTGAGCAGCAACCGCAAGAAAATGTTGGTCGGTCAGCAGGGTATGGGTCAACATATAGTGTTGACTCCGGTTGACCAGCTTCCTGTCTCTCGGATACGATGGCCCAGATCGACCCGAAGTCAATGGCCTGGATCTCATACAGCTGCAGATTCCCACTTGGACTGGATTCTTGGCAGGTGCCTGCAAACAGCCAAGTGTATGTGTCTGCTGATCGGTGGCCTGGGATGGGTCCATGTTTGACTCGTGAGCATGAATTTCCGAGCTGCTGTTGACCTTTGACTTTCCACCGTCAATGGTCGCACGAAGGGCCTCTGAAGCCCAGTTTTAGGCCGTGCTTCTGGTACCCATGGCAGCAGGCCTTGTTTCAGGCAATTTCCATGACCCGGATGTGGCCGTTGGGCCCCGATTTGGCCCTTAGCCCGAGATGACGACCTATGGCTCACGACTATTGCATGATTCAAGCTGAGTTATTGCAAGTGCTGCACGCCGGGAAAAACGAGCCGGCACGCCGGGCACGGTGCACAATTTTTCTTCTTCTTGGCTGGCGCCGCCAGCCAAACAGATTCGATATGCCGAGGAGCGAGGACCTTAGAACTCGGCTAATATACTGCTCAGGCCTAGGCTACCAGATGGGTGGGCGGCCCGGGTCACCTTATTTGCCCGGGCGGCCCGGTCGTGCAAGGACCTACGTGACACCCGCGGCCTAGGCCGCGGGCTATTCGGCCACTGCGGCCGAAAAAGTCGGCCCCGACCGCGGCCGATGAGGCCCAGTCCGCGGCCTGTTTTTCTAATATCCCCCCCCCCCCCC